AAATGCAAAGTTTAATGGAAAAAAAAAAAAAAACAAAACATGTCCAATTTTTTGAGCCTAAATGATTGATTTTCGAAACATTAGTACTGGAATAGATCGAAATTCGCATTCGCATGCGTGTGTTAAAATATAACCCTGGTAGTCGATTCAACAAGCAATAAAAAGAAAGATTGTGCAATCGAACAAAAAATTTACTGCTTATGTTGTTATAAATTGATAATTTTTTTTATTATTGGGTGACATCTATCGATACAATGATGGCGTTATTGCATGCATGTTCGACAGAACTATAGAAATGTGATTTTTTTTTTAACCACTTCCCGTCCAGCCCATGTACATATACGGCCGGACGGGAGCAGTGCAGGGGCGGGTGGGCGTTTATAAACGGCCTCCCCGCCCCTGCTTGTGCGCGCTCCCTGGGACCGCGCAGCACCTCGATCTGATGCCCGCTGTGTCTTCCGGACACAGCAGAACACCGATCATTGTACGGGACCCAATCATGTGATCAGTGATTGGCCAATCAGTGATCATATGAAAAGATTAGTAAGCAAGATGTCACTTCTGACATTGCTTAATATATGTGAAATCTGTGAATGATCACAGAGATCACATGGTACAAGGCTATTCACAACAGCCTTGGACCATGTGACAAGCTGTGACCAATCACAGCTCACACAGTGTTTCTCAATGGCTACAAGAATGCAGTCAGAGAGAAGGAGAAATTATTGCTTTTACAGCCTTATGGGTGTAAAAGCAATCAATGTAAAAAAAAAAAAAAATCTTCATAACCCCCCAAGTAGTACAGTGTCAGTATGGTGACACTGTACTGCTAGGGTGACAGTACGTAAAAAAAACAAATATAAAAAAATAAAATGTAAAAAAAAAATGTTTAAAAATTACAATTTTTGGTTATAAACTAATTTGGGTTTTTTTTTTTACTAAAAAGGTAACTGAATACATTTTAGCCAAGATTCATGAAGAAAGATTATTTATTTGCAAAATTTTATAAGAAAAACACTTTTTTCTAAAATTTTTGGATTTTCATATATATAGCAAAAAAAAATAAAAATCCCAGTGGTGAATACCACCAAAATAAAAGTTTTATCTGTTTCAAAAAATGCTAAAAATTTCATATGGGTACAGTATTGCATGACCGCGCAATTGTCATTCAAAGTGTGATAGCACTGAAAGTTGAAAATTGGTCTGGGGGGGAAAGTGTCCGGACTTGAAGTGGTTAACGATTTGCTAACAGTGTATGGCTGGCATAGATGTACCACTACAGGTTCAGGCTCAGCTGACCTAAAAATACATTGCTGGCTTTCTTCCAGCTGACCCATGATGTGATTGGAAAGTGCAATTTTGTCAGTGATTTAATGCTGAAATAAGCTGATTGTCCAATCACTGTTGTACACAGAACAGCGACCTGGCTGTGTCTTCACCTTGAAAAAAAAAAGGGTAAAGAATAGCCAGATCTCTTATTAAAAGCAGCACACATTACACTTGTTAGGTACACATTTAACCCCTGGATTGCCACTTGATGTTAACCCTTTCCCATCCAGTGCCATTAGTACAGCGACAGTATACTGTATGGTATTATCACTGTTCAATGTATTAGTGTCACTAGCAATATTACTGTCAGTCAGTGATCCTCCCAGCCAATATCTGTTAGTGCCAGATTGGCCACCACACTATCACAGTCTCACTATAAGTCACTGATCACTGCCATTACCAGTATAGTGTCTTTAACTGGTAAATTCCAGTATATATATCATAACTTGTAGATGCTATAACTTTCCACAAACCTATTAATATGCATTTTTCTTTTTACGAAAGACACGTAGCAAAATACATTTTAGCCTAATTTTATGAAGAAATTTTATGTTGTATATGAAAGTAGAAAATATAATTTTTTTTAAATTTTTTTTCGTTTATGTAATAGAAATTAAAAAATCCAGTGATGATCAAATACTACCAAAAGAAAGGTGCATGTGTGTGAAAAAAACCACTATAAATTTAATTCCCGTACAGTGTTACATGGCTGAGCAATTGCCAGCTAAAGTAGCACAGTGCACTGGATAGCAAAAAAATGCCCTGGTCATGAAACTGAGCTGCAGCATGGTGGCCAAGACCATACCATGGTTTAACAGGACAGGTTCTACTCAGAATAGGCCTCGCCATGGTCGACCAAAGAAGTTGAGTGCACGTGCTCAGCATCATATCCAGAGGTTGTCTTTGGGAAATAGACGTATGAGTGCTTCCAACATTACTGCAAAGATTGAAGGGGTGGGGGGTCAGCCTGTCAGTGCTCAGACCATATGCCACACACTGCATAAAATTGGTCTGCATGGCTGTCGTCCCAGAATGAAGCCATCTTCTAAAGATGATGAACAAGAAAGCCCGCAAACAGTTTGCTGAAGGCAAGCAGACTAAGGACATGGATTACTGGAACCATGTCCTGTGGTCTGATGAGACCAAGATAAACTGATTTGGTTCAGATGGTGTCAAGTGTGTGTGGCGGCAACCAGGTGAGGAGTACAAAGGCAAGCGTGTCTTGCCTACAGTCAAGCATGGTGGTGGGAGTGTCATGGTCTGGGGCTGCATGAGTGCTGCTGGCACTGGGGAGCTACAGTTCATTTAGAGAACCATGAATGCCAACATGTACTGTGACATACTGAAGCAGAGCATGATCCCCTCCCTTCGGAGACTGGGCTGCAGGGCAGTATTCCAACAAGATAACGACCCCAAACATACCTCCAAGACAACCACTACCTTGCTAAAGAAGCTGAGGGTAAAGGTGATGGACTGGCCAAGCATGTCTCCAGACCTAAACTCTATTGAGCATCTGTGGGGCATTCTCAAAAATGGAGGGTGGAGGAGGAGTACAAGGTCTCTAACATCCACCAGCTCTGTGATGTCATCATGGAGGAGTGGAAGAGAACTCCAGTGGCAACTGGTGAAGCTCTGGTGAACTCCATGCCCAAGAGGGTTAAGACAGTGCTGGAAAATTATGGTGGCCACACAAAACATTGACACTTTGGGACCAATTTGGACATTTTCACTTAGGGGTATACTCATTTTTGTTTCCAGCAGTTTAGGCATTAATGGCTGTGTGTTGAGTTATTTTGAGGGGACAGAAACTTTACACTATTATACAAGCTGCACACTCACTGTCACATTGTAGCAAAGTGTCATTTCTTCAGTGTTGTCACATGAAAAGATAATAAAATATTTACAAAATGTGAGGGGTGTACATTGCACAAAATAGCTCTACCATATGTGCACATCTGGTTTATTAAAAAGCTGTGATTACTAGAATATTTATCACATAGATTTAAAGAAAATCTGGGGTGGGAAAATAAATGTTTTTAAACATTCAGATATACAGTATTACATGCGTGCAAAATTAATTCAGTCGTATGGAGATAGATAATTAATACATTTTTTGAGTCTCACTTTTGCTAAATTTGGGCTACAATATTGACCTAAGACTATTTATACATGGTGTTAACACTTGTGTTCATGTACTGTACAAATAATTTAAGTAATTAAAAGCAGTTATAAAGAAGTAAAAGTAATTAAATCTATTAAAAAATATAGTCCTGAAGTTTTTTTTTTTTTTAAAAAAGCAGAATGTAATAAACTTATTTGAAATTAGAAACATTTTAAAGTAGATCTGAAAGTAGATATAAACCCTAATTGGGTGACATTTTGTTTGAAAACACTGTATATAATAAACAATTGCCATGTCTTTATTTCCATGACATACATTCAATGTTTTCATCCCTTTTTGCATCTCAGTACTACAGGTCTTCTCTAGCTTTTGTTCAGCCACTTTGGTGGTTATTTACTAAAACCTCATGGTGTAAAATCTGGTACAACTCTGCAGAGAAACCAATCAGCTTCCAGGTTTTCTCCTCAAAACTTAAGTTGAAAACAAGCTGAAGTTAGAAGCTGATTGGCTACCATGTACAGGTGCACCAGATTCTGAGTGCACCCATTTTAGTAAATCTACCCCTTCCTGTCTACGTGGACTTGTTCCATCATTGGCTGCATATTGTTGCTCTGGAATGCCTCCTTGACGGTAACAATGATGGACCATTCCTGGTCAATTTGGGGTTTATTTACTAAAGTTTGAGCGTGCAAAAGTAAAGCCTAATTGAACAAGCTGAGGTTGGAAGCCGATTGGTTTCTATGCAGACATGAGCCTGATTTTGCGCTCTCCAGCCTTAGTAAATAAACCCCTTAGTGTCATCATAGTCAATTTCAGTGTTAACCAGAGATCTGTGTGACAATGTTATGAGTAATAAAATACTTCGAGGTCATTGATGTATGAATGCCCAGACCAAATATAGCATCATCAGTATGCACTGTAACTACTGTAGAAAACAACAATGGCCATTTTCAACTTTTTTTTTTCATGGACATGAAAGGCTATTATTTGGTTCAGTGTTTACATTTATTGTAGACTATAAAAATGGACAAATGCATTTTCAAAAATGTTTACATTTTCATTATTTTTATTATTTATTTATTTTTTAATTAACCACTTGCCCTCCAGAGGACTTACCCCCCTTCCTGACCAGGCCATTTTTTGCATCATGGCGCTGAGTTACTTTAATTGACAATTGCAAGGTCATGCAAAGCTACACCCAAATTAAATTTATGTCCTTTTTTCCCACAAATAGAGCTTTTTGGTGGTATTTGATTGCCTGCACGTTTTTATTTTTATGTTTATATAAACAAAAAAAGACCAACAATTTAGAAAAAAAAAAAAAAATTATTTTTTTGACTTTTTGCTATTAAACATATCCAGTAAAAAATGTAAAAATACAATTTCTTCATAAATTTAGGCCAAAATGTATTCTGCTACATATCTTTGCTAAAAAAAATCCCAGTATGTGTAAATTAATTGGTTTCCATGAAAGGTTTAGCATTTACAAATGCCGCTGTATATACTGGATTTTTTTTTCTTTTTACTAGTAATGGCTGCAATCAGCAACTTACAGTGGGACTGCAGAGGGCATTCTGAAACTGGGAGAAAATGACTTGGTGTCACTGACATCCCCAGGGACACCAATACAGTGATCAGTGCTAATAAAAAGCACTGACACTGTACTAATGGCTCTGGGCAAGAAGGGGCTAACATGTGGGGCGATCAAAGGGTTAACTGTGTGCTGGTTTACTATGTGTTTCACTGTCGGTAATGCTCGGAGATCGCCAGGTGCTGGCGGGGAATTACCGCCAAGGATCCAGTGATTGACAGCTGAGGGTGTGAATCGCAGTGCGGGGATTGCACGCGTGCACCCCCCTACCCGGAACTGCAAAAGTATGTATATATACACACACACACGATTTTGGGCAATAGTAGTTCTGCTATAGGGTGGTGTGGAAACAGCTAATGTATTGTCTTCCTCTCTACACTTACAGCTGCAGCCTGCAAGGTGATAACATAACCACTTGCCCTCAAGAACATTTTACCCCTTTCATGAACAGCGCATGTTTTCCTATTTAGCAATGTGCTACTTTAACTGGCAATTGCGCAGTAATACAACACTGTACCCAAATCTCACACAATAGAGATTTCTTATGGTGGTATTTGATCACAACTAGGTTTTATATTTTTATTAAATAAAACAAAAAAGACCAAAACATTTGAAAAACAAACAATATTTTCTACTTCGTTATAAAACACAATAAAAAAAAAAAAAAAAAAAAAAATCACATTTCTTCATAAATGTAGGCCAAAATGTATTCTGCTAATTGTCTTTAGTAAAAAAAAAAAAACCCTTCCCAATAAGTGTATATTAGTTTATGTGAAACTTATAGCGTCTACAAACTATGATATATATAATTGAAAACTCATCAATCCTGTTGAATTGAGGGCCGATCTCATTTCTTGAGACCCCAAAATGGCAGGACAATGCAAATATACCCCAAATTACCACTTTTTAAATAGTAGACAGTCTGAGGTAACTAGTAAGAGGCATGGTGAGTTTTTTTAAGTTGTAATTTTTTGGGAAAATGAAGAAATTAAATCATTTTGTTTTTTTTTTAAATCCTGTCACCAGTTCAGTACAGCTTCATCATATGCCTGGTGTAGCAGTAATCAAGGATACTGATTGGTGACCAGGGGCAGACTGACAACTTGAGGGGCTCCCGGGCAATAGGGGATCATGGGGCCCCTGTGTCCTTGCCCACACTCAAAACACACCCAAAAAAGCCTATGAAAAAGGCAACCAGGGGCATCTCATGGGACCCCCTACTGACCCCGGCCCTTGGGCAGTTCTCGAATGGTCAGTCCGCCCCTGTTGGTGACAGTATCAAAAATAAAATATATTAATTTTTTTAATTCAATTTATTAAACTCTTTCAACTTTTTTTTTTTTTTTACATCCTGCCATTAGAGTAGCTCAATGTCAATTATTATTATAATAATAGAGTATTTATATAGCGCCAAAGGGTTTGCTCAGCGCTGCATTAGAATGGGGGACAAGACATGAGACAATACAGTAGCAAAACAATACACAATACAGGAGGCTTAGAGGGCCCTGCCCTTTCGAGCTTGCATGATTTTGTTTTACACTGTTATTACTTATACAGTGATGATCATTGTATAAGCCAGTGTTTCTCAACCTTTTTTCAGTCAAGGTACCATTTAAAATTATGTACAGTCTCGAGGTACCCTTTAAAATTATGGACAGTCTTGAGACACCCCATTCTAAAATGTAAAAAACTATTCTAATAGATTTATATAATGCAGCAACATCCACACATGTAGGACACCCAATGTTAGAGGTAATTTATTCTTCCAAAGCAAATACGCTTTTGCACACTGGTACTGACTAGTATTCCAATGTTTCTCTTTTACCTCAGGCTTTCACTATCACTCAGCTAATGTGACCCCAGCACTGATGGAGAGGGGCAGGGGAGGGTCAAATAAGGATGCTGTGCAGGCAACCAACATCCTCCATATTACAGGTCCTTATATAGCGCCAATTTACGCAGCGCTTTACATATATATTGTACATTCACATCATTCCCTAACCCTCAAGGGGCATACAATCTAAGTTCCCTAACTCACATACATACACATACCAGGGCCAAATTTAGACAGGAGCCAATTCACCGCATGTCTTTGGAGTCTGGTAGGGAACCGGAGTACCCAGGAGGAAACCCACACAGGCACAGAGAGAACATGCAAACTCCAGGCAGGTGGTGCCATGGTTGGGATTTGAACCAACGACCCTGGTACTGCCAGGCTGAAGTGCTAACCATTTAGCCACTGTTCTGCCTATTTTGCCTATGATATCATTGGTTGTTAGGATGCCAGCAGTTAGACAACGGTTCACACAGGGGCGGACTGACCATTTGGAAATTCGGGCACTGCCTGAGGGCCCGGGGTCAGTAGGGGGCCCCATGAGATGCCCCTGGTACCTTTTTCATAGGGTTTTTTGAGTTTGGGCAAGGACAAAAGAGCCCCATGATCCCCTATTGCCCGAGGGCCCCATGAGTTGTCAGTCCGCCCCTGGGTGCACGTAATGGTGCACAATAAAAACCTCTGGTTTTATATGACTAAAAGGCAGGCTTGTTCCACCCACTGGCTTGTATACAATTTTTAGACATTTTGTCAAAGCACCCCTGAAGAAACCTCAAGGCACTCCAGGGTGCTTGGGTAACCTGGTTGAAAAAGGCTGGTATAAGCAATAGTTTTGATGCATTGGGGTATTTTTACTAAAGGCAAATTAGCTGCTCACTTTGCAAGAAAATTTTCCCCAGAGTGAATGTGGCAAAATTTCACTTTGCAAATATTGCCCAATCGAGTGCAAAGAAAATAAAAAATATCAATCTCTAAATTCTTTTTTTTGTGATCTGACTTCATATGAGAGGTTGGCTGCGTTCATTCTCCATGATCCCGTAGGAAAATAGTCACCTCCTGTGGCTCACTCCTGAGATAGACTATGAACATGGACTATGGGATTTGTAGTGTACATAGAGCAGTACACATGACCACAACTAATGTACACTGTTCAAAACAAAGGGAAGTGAGGAGGGAAAGAAAAGGCTTGACAGCTTACAGAGGATGCTACAAAAGGGCATAAAAACACAATAAGAAACAAATCTAATGAAAAATAGATTACAGGGCCATTAACCCCTTCACTAAGGGTAAAACAAATCTAAATGCCTAAGCACAATTTTGCAACTTTGACATGTGTTGGTAAAACCGTACATAGCATCACAACTACTTTGTACATCCAGGTGAATTATACCTTGTTTTTTTAATGGCAAATTGGGCTTTCATTTGGTGGTAAACGGTAATGTATATCTCCTGATTCTTTTATTTTAGAAAAGGAAAACTGGCCAAAAATAGTAAAAAAAAAAAAATTTTTCTAATTTAGCTGTGTGTTTCTTGTTACTACCATAACCTACCACCAAAATACATTTTCAAGCTTTTCACAATCGCAGCAATACCATATATGTGTATGTCATTTGTTGTTTGTATCTGTAATACAGCCCAGAAACAATAGTGTGCATTTTTTTAACCTAGAACACACTGACATTGACACTGATACCAATAAAACAAAAAAATCCTGACCTTTGACCCTGACCCTGACCCAAGCACTAACGCTGGCACTCAAACCTTGATCTAGGTATTTTTTTTTCTTTACTTTAATTTTTTAATTTTTTTTTACAAACAGTTGTGTTTTTTCCCTCTATGCAAGGAGAGAGAGAGAGAGATACAATGTATCTCTCTCCTCCATTCAAAAAGGAAAAAAAAAACAAAACAAAGGGGAGGGCTTCACAGTGACTGATCATTGTGATAGCCAATCAGAGGCCATCACAGCGATCATGTGACCCGGAATTGGGGGTCCCGATCATTAGAACGGGACCCAGGGCTCTCAGTGACACCCCAGTCTTTGCGCTGGGAGCAGGCTGTGCGGCGCGCTCCCAGCACAAACACAGGTACGCGGCCCCATGGAAAAAAAAGCCCAGTTCTGTGAGGCCACATATTTGTGACATCTGCATTAAGGGGTTAAAATGTTGTCAGTTTTGTCAGGGTTTTTTTTGCAGTCTGTGCCCCCGTTTTGGTGATTTACCCTGTTTGTCTTGGTGAGTGAAATTAATGATAGTGAAAGAAAATCCCACATTTTTGGGGTTGAAACCACCATTTGCAGCCACTGTCTACCCACAGGCACTCCAGCATGTGCTGCATGTTAATGCTCAGAAAGGTTTTCCTGATGGTGACAACAGTGGAACATGCCTGTGCAATGTGTGATGGCACAGTTGCTTATCTCCATTAGAGTATTAGTTAGGGTGACAAAACTAGAGAACACTTGAGAAACAAGGATAGAGTGCTGTTATCCTATAACAGAGGGTGCCCACATATATGGCCTTTATGCCAGATTCATCATGTTTTATTTACATGAAAGGTGCAGACCTAAAACTATTTTAAAACAATTTTTTTCATTACTTTAAAGTGTTTGTAAACCTTTGAAATGAAACATGAACAATAGCATCCCTCTATAACGTGTACTTGCCTCAATCCAAAACAGCTAGCTTGTTTTCAGATCTGATTTCAAGCTTTTCTCTCCTTCTGCTATCTAGTCAATTCTTCCAATCATTTATGTCGACACCAAGCAATTTCAGGAGATGGTCCTGCCCCCTCCCCGTCCATCCACCACACTGCAAGTGATTGACATCCTCAGCTATGCATGTTTCCCTATGAGACTGTGTAAAGGGGAGGGGGGTGGCCATTACCTCCACTTAGGTCTCATGTTACACTCAGCTCTCCAGTGTTTGACATCAGATTCCTACCCACTGCCTTATGAATCTGAGAAAAGGTGTGTAAAGTGTGTGCTTTAGAAGGTTGTAGAGGAGAGAGGGCTACAGATAAACAGATACAACTTATGTAGGAGGATTTGCTTCATATATGTGTGTCACCTGAGTCACTTCACAGGGTGTGTGTGAGGGTTTACAACCACTTTAAAAATGATCAAGCATATATAAAAATGTAGCCGTTGAGGTTTACATGTAATTTAGGATCTGCTAACAGTTCATTTTAAACCCATTTTTATGATTATGATATTTTGCATTCACTACACTGTAAACTGGAGTATTGGGATCCTATAACCTCAGCCTACTGTGCAAAGACTATACAAAGCAATAATTTCACTAAAGGTAGTACAACATTATAGTATGATTA